GCTCCCCAATCCAGGCCAGGGTAAGTCTAGGTTATACACTGCATTAGCTAGGTTCGGACGACTGTGGTCCAGCGTCCAAATTAGATTTAGGATCCGGGGCAGATCTTTGATTATAAGACCCCAAATTTCAGGAATATAATCCCAATTTTTTAATAAAATATTCAACTCTAAATAAAGCTTCATTTCGATCCTAAAACGTAAATTCCAACACTTAGACTAAGTTGGGACACTTCCATATGGTTATGAAATCTCAAAGTGTCCCCTACCTCTCATCCTTTAACTCTGTTAATAACTGTTCAATCTTGAGCCATTCCCTTTTGAATTTCCAAAATTAATTCATTTTTGATATCACTCCTAGAAGATCTAACAAAATTCTGTCACTATTTTAATCGAGAGTTTTCGTAGGAGACTCTGTCTCCCTACGACATAATTAACTATAAGGGCTTGTGCTCATAGAAGATTTAGAACCACACACACACACACCTGATTTTAAAAATTAATTTTTCAAAATTCAATTGAATTTCTTTGGGAAAACTTAAAATGTTAGTGATCGTTATTATCATATTCAAAGGATTATCATCGAATGATTTTTTCTCCCTTCGGGGAGATACACCTTTCTTTGATAAGGCTTTGGATGTGAAATCAACAATCACACTTCTTGAATATTATAGCTGGATATTCAGTAGAATCTTATTTTGACCCTTCAGGGCCATATGAAGTTCTCTTTAGAATCCAGCCACAATATTAAAGATGAATTTCATAATTTTAAATCTGAATGCCGTCATAAAATTTTATTTTCACCTTTTGAGGTTATATACTCTTTCTAACGGGATGAATTGATTTTATAATTAGAATTTAACTTCAACTCCCAAAGAAAACCAAGCATTTCAAAATTCCACCAACATACGCTATTATTGACCATCGTATTGTACGATACCTCCTTATCATATTGTACGATCCACATCAGCAAACGAATTGGGACGAATTAACTCGGTTTGGTACAATATTATTGATGTTAGTACTGTACGATACCTCCACTTCGTACTGTACCGATCCACCTCAGCAAAGCGGATGAGAATGACTTAAAGGTGTCTGGTACGATATAAATGTAGTTCGTACTGTATGATACACATGTTTGTACTGTATGAAACTTTTCGTCAAGGTCGTACCGACGACCCTCGGGATGATCGAAATCCTTCTAATCGTACTGTACGATAACAATCGTACTGTACGAGTTGACCACCTTTTCCCTAAACGACCCGTCAGAACATTTATTACGAATCGTACAGTACGAAACATGAACGTAAGTGTTTTGTACTGTACGATGTGGCAAAATTTCTATAAATTTCCTTGCCTGTCAGATCTGTTCACGCCAAACTCTTCACTCATATTTCTTCTTCTACTTACCATCCTGATCATGTCGAGTTCCAACAAGAGGGGTCGTTTGGCAGCGAGAAGTTCGTATTCCTCAAGCCGTCACAGCGCTCGGTTCCTGAGTGCTGAAAATGAGGAAGCTTACCATAATTATAAAGCCTGCAAAATTACACCATCCAAAATGCTCAATCAGGCTGCCCTGAATTTTGAGGTACTGAACCTCTTTGCTTCCACCACCTTTCAGTTCCTCCTCACTCTGGCTTTCCCCTACAACTCTGAACTTATTTTGGAATTTCTAGTAAATCTAACCTACACCGTCGACAGCACAACTTTTCACTCCTTTGTTTGTCGTCAAAACATAGAGATCACCAGAGCTGACATCGCCCATTATATTGGGCTATCAACTGAAGGAACTAGGGTTCGTTCCTTTCTAACAAATGATTTTGACTGGAGTGATGTTAATCGTTTCCTTAGGTACGCCGCCTTCTATCAACACCAACCACTCGTCCAATCACTCAACCGAAATGCTAGAATTATTCAACATGTCCTTATTCAACATGTACCATACAATGAATAGAGACGACATTTGATCGTCCCGAAATTCGTCCTGAACAATGCCTTGATTTTGACCATTCGTACTATACGATGTATATCGTACCATACGATGAACAGAGACGATATTTGATCGTCCCGGCTATTGTCCTATACGAGCAATAGTGTTGAGGATTGTACAATATGATTTAGTATCATACCGTATGATTAGATTTTGAACTGTTTGTACAACTTTATACCAGGACGAAGCCTATTTATACATATCGTACTGTACGATGAGAAATCGTACCGTACGATTGTAACGGCTACTTTGAAAATTTCAGGGATTTTGGAGCCTGTTTTATGTATCAAAATTAGTAATCTTTTATATAAGAGAGACAAAAAGAGGGGAATGTGATTAGAGAGGAAATCTTTGGGAGAGAGCTCTTGAGAAGTTTTTTTTTTTGGTTTGAGAGAGGAAGGAGAAGGTGAGCTTGGTGAGGGAGAAGAGGTGCGAGGGAGATCACACGGTTGCTCCGTTCTTGCTGCATCTTGCTCCTCCTGTGGCCCGGGAAGAACTTGTGGGAGGCTCTCTGAGGAGGAGACTCTTCTACATCAGTGACCTTGAAAGTACTCTGCCTTATCCAGGAGGGAGAAAAACGAGAAGGTACTTTGTCGTCGCCAGGAGGGTGAAAACATCGCTTGGTACTCCGCCACGCCGGGTTGGTGAAAGGGAGTATAGGGCTTTTCCGCCTTGCTGAGGGGGGCAAAAGGAGAGCTATAGTTTGTAGTGAAATTCCTGAAGCAGAGGACTCCGGGGAGTGGACGTTGGTAATGGTTTGACCGAACTACTATAAAATTCCGGTGTGCTTTTTTCTTATCGCTTTTTATTTTTTGCTTGCACTTTTTTTCATAGTATTTGCGTAGTGAAAATTGTGAAAGAAAAAAAGGTATTTTATCGTTGCATGTTGAGTTCATGTATTTGCCTTCGTAGTAGTTAAATTTTCTTGTTAAAATTTAAAATCACCAAAATATTAGAACTCTTGCATAGGTCTTTTATTATTGATACAAAGTTTTCACAATTCACCCCCCCTCTTGTCAATCTAGTTATTTCAATAGATAACAAAGAATTCAATTAGACAAAAAATTCACATTTTTTAAATTAAATCAAAATATTAGGAATTATATAAAATAATGTTTTAAAACTTTTATTGTACTACACTACTATTTTTAGATTTCAAAATAAATTTCTAAGTAAAAAAAATTGTTGTATTTTTAAAATCACTCGATAAAAAATCTCAAATAAATACTTAAAATGCTCATAATCATGATCTCTCTTACGAGGTAAAATTTTTGCCAATATAAAGTTATTCACATTTTTCGGTAACATAAATATAAATATGATCAAAAAATATAAAAAATACAAAATCTTTGAAATCAGAAATATGATAAATGTTTCTTATAGAGAGACAAGTAAATTTTCTAATTGGCCCGACGGACAAAAATCACACTGTAACCTTCAAATCTATATATCGTTTTGCTCTCTCTTCACTTATCTCTCTAATTCTCCTAATTCATTCTTTGTTGCCGAAATTAGAAGAGAAAACAAAATGATGTAATGATTTAAAAAGATAATGCATTGATATATTTTGAATAAAATAATAATTTAATATTATATAATTAATTTAATCAATTTTTTAGTATAAAATTTAAATAAATCATTTTAGGGTTTCAAAAATTACATAAAATATTCATAAACTAAATAATTTATTTAAAAAATATCAGTGAAATTGGTTTGCAAAATGGACACATGATGATCCAGAAATATTCACTTGTACCAACAAGTATCAATTTCTTTAAAATTTTTATCGGTGTCCAAAAATTATGAAAAATTTTCCACAATTAAAATACTACAATATCAATAATATATTGAAGACGGATTGCCATTTAGAGTTATATTAACTACATAAAAAAATTATTTATCTCGGTCAAAATACGGGTTATTACATATAGTCACGTGACATTGTCTTGTGTAAATAGACGTTCATCTTGCCTAAACAAACGCCTCACGTAAACGAATGCTTGTCTCACATACGCTCTCGTTTTGCCTGCTCGCGTTGACCGCCTCTCTTCTCCTGCTCCTTCAACAAAATGACAAAGACTAAACTTGTTCGTAGCTGCGGATGCACGCTCACCGATCATTTAAATGAAGGAGCCCTAATGCACGTCTAGCGGGTTCGAAAATTAGAGAACCTCGCTCACAATCGTGAAAAGTACATATGACGTGTCTTGTTTTTTGGATTTTTTTTTTCATTTTTCAGCATACACACGTATCGAATACGTGTGTCCTTTTGAAATAAAATAGTATGCTAATTGGATACGGCTTTGTCATATTCGACACGTAACGGTGCCGTATCAGACGTGTATCCGTGTCCAACATGTATCCGATACAACACGTCTTCATAAATAGGTGCATCGGTGCAACATAGGTTGTATCATGTATGAAAAGATAATTATGATTTAATGTTTACTAATTGATTGACTTCTTTCCTTTAATTGATCGAAACTAAACAAGTCTGTTGACCAAATGTAGCATAATAGAAAAATATAAAATTTTATTTTATTTTTCTAGTATTACAACTGGCATTGATTTGGTGAATAAAATCTTACTGATTGACTTTGTTTATTAGTAGTAAATATTTATTTTATTAATATTTTTTTTTCATATTTTACTTAAACTTATATTATTTGTGTTTCGTAATATTTAGTTGATGTTAATTCTAATTTCTTAATTTGATTTCTAGAATTTTACCCCTTTGAGGAAAAGATAAGAAGTATTGATGCAAAAGTTATATTTAATATCATAAAGAAGAGATCATTTACTCCCACCTCATACTTTTAAATTTAAAATAAAATTTTTAAATTAATCATATAAATTTTATATTTAATAAATTTTTTATTTTATTTAATTTTATATCACATATTTTAAATTATAACAACATTATTATATAAGTTATTATTATTTTAATAAAGTTTGTATTTTATTAAATACTCTAAGCCGCTTTCCCTGTCCGGTCCGGTTTTCACGTGTTCCATAGAAAATTCCTCCCGCCTTCCCGCTTCATCTTCGCCCTCCATTCATTTCCCGCCCCTCTTTATTGTTTCCAGTTTCAAGAAGGAGAGAAAACTCTGGAACGGAATGACGGCCAGGTCCGAACCGACTACGTGGAGGATTCTCCGGACGAAGGGCGGCCAGTTCCGGTGGGCAGTCACTAGCGGAGATCGGGCTTCTGTGTCGGAGAGGCCTCCTAAAACCCTAGTTCTAGAAGAAGATGACAAACACAGATCCCGCCTCCCTTCCATGATGGATCTCATGTTTCATGTTGAGCAGACTACTTGGTTATCAAATAAAAGTTCTTTTCTTGATCAACAGCTAGCAATTCCTCCGAAGCCAGGAGGCGTTGGGGGAGATAAGGGAACCGGTGGTGCGATGTTCAGTACCGGATCTGGTAGGACGCTTTCCGTGCAGCAGAGTTCCATTCAGAAGGCGAGATCTCTTCTCGAGGAAGGAAATGTTGCTGATGAAGGTGAATTCCAGTTTTTTTTCCCCTTTGGAATTTGATTTCATGTTCTAAATAACATATTTTATTTCCTTAACGTCGAAGTAATTAAGTAATTACAGGAATGGTTTAAAAATGTCTGTATAAGTATCATCAACTGCTGATTAAATTTTTGGCAACAATTGCAGCGAGTTGTGGCAGCGAGTGCTTTCCAATGTTTCGCACAGGGTCGGGAAAATCCGTTCAAGTGAGAGAATCTTCGATTAAGAAAGCAGCAACTCTACTAGAAGTGACTAATGATAAGGAAGGTGAGCTAAATATACATCTGCTTAAAATCTGTATCACTTTTTTAATTTGTTTAGCAACATGTTTATATGTTTATTTATTTAAAAGGCATTGGTGGATAGAAGTATTCTTTCCCTTTCCTTCTAAGGGTTGCACAATCATACTTGATTTGCTTAGTTTTAGTACTGCCAATATATTTAAAGATGGTTCAAACCTTAGATAGCCCATCAGGAAGCTTCTTTAGTATCTATCTCCTAAAGGAGAGGCCCTCTCGCAGGGATCCAATAGATGATTGCCTTGTTCCTTTTTTAAAAGGTAGCATTAAGCTTTTCAAGGTTAAAGGATATTTTTTTATTTCCTAAAGGTTGCCCAAAGGCTTAATCCAATACGATATTTTGAGATTTGAAGACTATTATTAGTCATGATTTTGAAAACTGGACTGGAACAACTGGTTTGGCCGATTCAACCGTGAACTGGTTATATGGTCTACAAGAATCGGCTTGGCCGATTCAGCTAAACCGGCCCTAATTAATGGACTGACAAAAAGCAATGGAGTCAAGCGGGCGAAGTGAGTGGGCCAAACACGAGTGCGGGAGCAGCTAACAATACCTAATCGCATAAGTGAGTGAGGAAAGGCATTCGAGAGCGAAAAGTGATGACTCTTAACACGAGATAACTCATTTTTTCCTTGTCCAGTTAAGCCAAAACAAGTGAAAGGAGTTGAGAGGAGGTGGTAATCATGAGTAAGAGAAGAATTTGGGAGAGAGAAGGAATTTGGGTTTGAAAGTATTTTGTTTAGACAACAGAGAAAGGTAAGTGATTTTAATTTCTTATTGTATGTTCAAATTAGAAAAGAAAATTTGTAAAATTTTATTCCTGTGATTTAAACAATAATATGCGATTGCTTATAGGAAGAAATTGGTAGGGTGAAAGTCTTATCTTGATCCGACAAAGAAGGAAAGAAAGATTATTGAGATATTTTGATTTAATTAAATTAATTTCAACCAAGAATTAACTTTTAATCATTTTAGAAATTTATAATCGACTAATGTAATTTATTGCATCAAAAAGGTTCGTTCAATCAGTTTGGAGGAGTATAATGCAATGAAGAAGAAGAAGAGTGTTCAACTATCTTATTATTAGTGAAAAGTAAATAAATTTCTATTATCTTAACAAGGAAGGAATTTAATAATTTTAATGAAAATTTATAAAATTTAGTATGTGACCTTAGGTGTTGCATTAAGGAAGGTTATATCAAAGCTCGAGTAATTGGAAGAAATTGAAGCGCAAGAGTTATTAAATTGGGTAATTACAATTATTTTTTTAATAATTACAATTAGTTTTTATTTATTTATAATTATTGTATGTTGTAGCCTATATGTTGACTGAATGTTTAATTTATAAAATAAATCAATTTGAGGGAAAATAAAGTGGATTAATGTTATTTATAGGGAATTCTTTTTTTTTTTTTCTATTGCTATTATTGAACATTATATCATGCTCAAATATTTGCTAAAGTTAAATGTTTGATATGTAACAAATTTGAAAATAATTGAATAACTAAAATTCATAATATTTACATATCAATATGACATGTGATGAAAAAATGAAATGAATATTAATATGAAAATGAAAAGTATAAAAAGGAAAAGTATGCATGCATGCAAATACATGAGTTCACCCATTATAGTACTGACTGAGGAATCAACATACCTGTGTAAGTTAAATGGAATTGAAAATGAAAATGAAAATGAAAATGAAAATGGTTATACATTCATTGGTACAAAATTTTGACGATGTTCTTGTAATAAATGAAAAGGAGAAATGAATAAATTAATTAAAAGACATGCAATTGAAATGAATATTTATATTAAATGTTATATATATATATATATATATATATATGTTAAATGAAAAGTTTGACAAAAGAACATGACTATTTTTATGTATATTTAATTGCTATATTATAAGCTGTAATTATCAACTGAGTTTATTATAAAACTCAAATTGTTAAATTTAAAAGACTAGGTAAATCTCCTATGAAATGAATGAAAAAGAAGAATTCATCTACATAAAAAGAGAATCAAATGATAAGAGATCAATTTATTTTTATTATATGTTCAAATTGAGAATTGTGTTTTAGTGGCTCTTTAGTTATATAATAGATGTTAGTTGTTAAGCATTTTATGTTATTGAAAGAACCATATTAACCGTCCGATCGTCTGTTCCTACCTTGTTAATTCGAGTCGTGATATGATCAATTCGGTTCACATATAAAACCGGCTTTGCAAGGAATCGATTTGGATTTGTCAAAATTGGTGGTTCAACAACGAATTGTTGAACCGGTCCCAATTTCATAGAGCTGGCTAGTTCAATTACTTTTCTATTTAAACATCGTTTCAAATATTTAATTTAATATATTTTAATTTCATAATAAGTATTATATATTTATAGCAATATTTTATCAATAAAACACCAACAAAACATTCCCACATTATTCTATCATCCGATGTGAGTTATTGTCACATGCAAATAAGAAAAGCTATATAAACAAGTCTAAAGCAATGCTCCCAAAGTGATGCGAGACTAAATAACTTAGTTGAATTTTTGTATTCACAACACACATTTTTAACAAGATTTTTTACTTTATTTTTAATGGCATGAATAATATTTTTTGGTTAATTATAATTAACTGTTTATCTATTTAAATTTTTATTTTTTAATTAAATACCAATGAAAATTAATTTGATCTATTTATTAATTATAAATGATTTATAGCTGTAAGTTTATAATATGAGTTTAGTCTATAATTTAGAGTTGTAAATTTTATCTAAATATATAATATGAATTAATAAAAAAATTATATTAAATTTCTAAGTTTATATGTGAATTATATTTATTTTTGAATCACAAATCTATATTATTGCATAATTATTGTATCATTTAATTTTTATTTAAATAATTTTTATGCTTATTACGTCATCTGGTATTCTGGTTCAACCCTGATCAAATCATTGAACCTTGAACCTCTCTTTTTTTCATTTCGATGTCCGATCCGATTTTCACATCCTTGTTATTATTGTTAAGAAGCTACTCTATGTTTTTGACGTCTAGAGGCTACATTTGGCTTTTTTAAGGCAACCCAAAGGATTTGATTTGGCTTGATTTTTTAGGGCTCGGATGCTATAAAGCTTTTGAGACAATGCTTACCACATGAACGTGGTCCCAAATGTTTGATTAGATATGAGCTTTTAAGAGTGGACGTCATACTCTTCCATCAGAAGATGCACTAAACTTTTTTCTTCGAGGCCATGCTCAACCACGTGAATTTTTAATTTGATTTTTTAGCATTTCTCAACCAAAGATTCTTTTGATATCCAATTTATGTTCCCTCGTAGGGTGCTTGTGTTAACAATTCTCCTGATTTGCATCTTGTTCTTTTTCGCAAACTCCATCAATGAGCTCATTTTTCTTTTGGTTGAGATGGCCTTTTGTCTCTTCTGCTTTAGGTTAATTGGCCAAGAGACAAGTATATATATGTTATGAGTTTTCTTGCATCTTATGGTTGGTTAGACTGTGGCTTTTTGGTTTGATTGTTGACTTCATTTGCACTTTGCCCTCCTTCTACTTGATCTGAACAAGATCATTAAAGTGTTAACATTCTTTTTTTTATGGGTGTGACTGAGTGGGAGAGCTTAGTGATAGAGATACTCATGTAGGAAGGCATTAGAAGATTGGATCCTAGAAGCTTCATCTTGTATAAGAGAAATATTTTAGAAGTGCACATATTCTTTGTATTTCTCCTTGTGAGTTGCGCAGTTATATTTTGTCACAAATGAACTTTAAGTTGCATAGTGTTGTTGCTTATGTACCTAAATAAGTATTAAGCTTCACTAAGTTCATTACTGTTGTCCTTAGCGGGACTTTCTTCATTATGAATCCACCAAAAGGAGAGGCACTCTTTAGGTGGTAAGACCCATCTTGCTTGCTTTTTTAACGGGTTTATGGTATTTATAAGCATCTTTTAGGATGGCGTTTTATGTATATGAAAACTTTTTTATGTGTTCATACGAGAGCCTAAGTCTTATGCATCTACATGTTTTGAGCACATGAAATGTTCAATGATTTCTCATGCGTTCATTCAAATCCCATCTTGTAGAGCAATTGAGAGGCTGAGCTGTCCATTGAATCCTAACTAAATATATCATTTTATTTCTTGTTGACCTCTACTATGCAGCCAAAAGAAAGCAAAAAAAAAAAAAAAACCTAATATCATTACCTGTGAGAGCCCATGCCGATATCCTACCAAAATCCCGCTCAAGTCTCGCTCAGATCTCTGCAAACGGCGCCAAATCCAGTTGCCCATCCCTCGGACGTTGCTCGAAATGACGCCCTGCTCGTTGTTAAATAGAGAACGAAGATCGCTTCGTTCGGGCGCTACACACACGAACTCCATCTCTCCAACACACGAGAATCCCTCTCCTCCGACTTTTCCTCCCGTCGCTGCTCATACGAAGCTCCGTCCAACCTCGCTCCTCCTCCGGCGTCCCTTCCCTGTCGGATCGGAGGCTCCGACCTTTCGATCGGAACCAGCGACGGGAGTCGCTCACTGTGACGTTAACTTTCTCCCTTCCGCTTCTTCTCCGGCTCCACCAGGGCCGTTCGACTTTGCTCCTCCGACTCCTTCCAGTCGGATTGAAGTTACGGCATTTTGTTCGGAAGCAACTGCGGGTGCTCGCTGGCTGTGATATAACTTTCTACCTAACGCACGCTTCTTCAGCTCATTCGGGCTGTTCGACTTCCCTCATTCGACGACTTTCCCCTCTCGGTCGGGTCGGATCGGAAGCAAGACAGGAGCTTGAGGGCTGTGAGGGTAACTTTCTCCCTTTCGACGGCTCCTTCGGCTCTTCGAGGCTGTTCGACCGCGTTCCATCAACGACTTTCTCTTCCTGTTGGAGCGGAAGTTCCAACATTTTGATCGGAAGAACCAATGAGGGCTCGGTGGCTGAGAAGATAACTTTCT